GCCCCCCTCGATCAACAAGTCAATTAAATCCTACAAGCTACAGCTACAAAACCATATCAACAACCCAGCCAACCTTCACCTACACACACCACGCGTCGTTCTACATTGTGCATATGAAGAGGTAGACCACGGGACACCGATTTTAGACTTTAATTGGCACGTAAGCAGACACTTACATAAATCCTGAACCCTTGCAACTTTGCATCATCTATCACGACTACCGCCACCACCACCTTCCAACATCGCTCTCGCAAACCGACGATAATCACCACCCATCTGACAAATAAGTCAGGTAAACAATGACACTTTATATCAGCTTTACTTCGATAGTGCCACCACACCCGGCTCCAAATAATCAGCATCCTTTGCGCTCCAGAAGACTCGCCAAATTCCTCAGTCCCGCACGGTGCAGTATTGCACATCCCAAGTTGATGCAAGCTTGCATTCCCTCATTAGCTACGACTAAAATATTGCCTAGTCTCTATTTCTTAAATACGCAACACTTCTGAGTCTACACTTAACCATCCTATTCCCCAACACCGTAGCATCACGGCCAGCAGTGACAAACCCAGACACATAATACAGCCCCTTTACCGGAATGCAACCCTTAACCTTAGCCTAACGGTGTTGTAGATGGCATCGGTGGTAGATGGAAATTAAGGTTTATTGGAGCACGAAGCTGAAGTGGATACAAATTCAGTTGTTTTGCTAGTGACTACGGTGGTGATCTAGTACATAAGGACAGATGGTCCAATCGTCCCGATATACCCTAGTATTTCCCATTTCGATTTTTTCGCTTTCTGAATTGGTGCCCGTTCGTTTCTAGAATGGTCGTTGCTGAAAGCTGGTGTTTTGAGATACGTCTGAGTTGCTAAATACCGCTCCTTGGCTCGCTGCCCAATACTAGCAGTTTTGGATTTCGTCCGTGCAGTTGAAATGTCGTCATCATCCGAATCGTGATCCGAGCCGCTATCTTTGTTCTCCTTTGATGCTTCCGGCAGAATGAAGAGTGCAATCTGTTCAAGATGCCGGCCCAGATGGCTTCTGAGTTGTTTCGATGCGTATTTCTCTTGACACAAAGGGCACTTCTGTTTTCCTTCCCCTTTGAGTCGGAGATGAAATGCTTATGTTTCTTGAAGACAGTGATAATGCATCCACCGACGGCGAGCTTCACACAGGCGAAGACGATTTCTTCTCCGAAGCCTGGAAGCGGAGTATGTATGTTGTCATTCAGAATACCCCTAACATGCATACTTAATAAGCGCTCTGCATGAATGTGGGGCTTGTACAGCGAATTCGCCGTACAACATCGCCAGGAATAATCTTCACCTCGAATTCAACAACGTCTATCTTCGCTTCATCATCTGATCATCGTTCATAGACCACGAGTTACCGAATCCACTGCTACCCCTCGCCAACGATACTTACCGGCTATGGACGCCTTTACCATCTCCACCGGAGTTGCGGGATTCCTGAGCCTTGCTTTGGAAATACCAAAAATCCTAAAGGCCTACGTTAACGGTGTCAAGTCAGCCGCAGAAGAAGCGCACAATCTTTTAGTTGAGGTTACTGGCTTATGCCATGCCCTGGAACAGCTCGTTCGATTCCTTCGAAAGGATTACAAGGGGCACTTTGCGGAAATCTCAGCCTTAGTGTTGGCTGCCGAAGCTTGCAAAGATCAGATAACTGATCTTTACAAGAAGCTCGAAAAGATTGAAGTGAGAAGTAGCGAAAGTGGTAATGTTGCTCAGTTCATGGAACGCTTGAAATGGCCGCTTCGCAAAGAAGATTACGACAGCACAATTTCAACTGTACAGCGCTTCACGCAGACGTTTCAATTTTATTTGACAATCTCCAATTGGTAAGACTCTATCCGATTTCCAAGCTCATTAGCGCAACACCGAGCCGTCATAGACTGTTCACTGCGGAAGTATTGAACTCCAGTCCTTTAACTATCTTATCTCCATTTTCAATTCTGCTCCGTCTCCTCCAAGGAAAGCCTACTTGCTAACTGAATTTATAGTGAACTACTTGCGAAAACATCTGAAGAGGTTTTGAACGAGTTCAAAGCAAGAGAGAATCAACTAGAGCAGACTCTTCAGAGTTTCAAAACAATGCAATTGCCGATCGAAGGGCTATTAACAGCGTCAAAGGAGCAATCAGACACATTCGGACATGTGATTCAAATTCTAGAACTCGGACGAGAAACACAGAAGATTTTGGCTGCCGTGCACAATACTAATGAAATATTGAATGGTTGCGTCCTATATATTTTGGTCATTTTGGCCACTTCGAGCTAACGGAAAGCTTAGATCAAGAAATGGAGTCATTACTCCAGTGGATATCACCTTTGCAACCCCACACAAGGCATGAAGACGTACGATCTAAGCGTCTTCCGAATACTGGAAACTGGTTCTTGGACAGTGAAATATTCCGAAACTGGCGGGACGATTCTGATGGGGTTAATATTTTCGGATGCTACGGAATCTCAGGTGCCGGCAAAACCTTTATCAGGTGAGTGAATGTAAAATAAATTACATCCCATGATGTCAACAGATGCTAAGGGGCTTGTGTGACGATAGCTCCCTTGTAATCGACCACCTTTCCTCTAGATTTCCTGGCGAGAAAGTATGCATCGCCTTTATTTACTGTGACTACCGGGACAAAAAGCAGCAAACTGTTGTCAATATGATTGGCGGACTTCTGAAGCCAGCAATCGCCGCCACCGATCAAGTCTGTAGGGACATCATTCAACCCTTGCTCCAGGTGAAAAAGAAAGGCTACAAAGAGATGGAATTGAATGATGCGGTTGAGGCTTTATCACGACTCTTCCATGGCTTCGATAAAGCTTACATATGCATCGATGCGCTGGACGAATGCAACGAGAAGCACAGAGGGAATCTCATCCGATGTCTTACAGGGATATCATCCTCCGATCTTACCAATATGCCACCTATTCAGCTGTTTTTCACTGGACGGCCTTTTATAGAAGAGGATGTCAAATCCCACCCTGCTGTCCACCCGAAAATTCCTTTCATGGTGAAGCTCGAGGCAAACACCGAGGATATTGCAGCATTCGTCCGTCATAAGATTGATGTGGACAAACGAGTCAAAATGGGGGATGATTTTAAGGAACATATTCTTGCAGAAATTGTCTCTGCATCTCAAAGAATGTTCGTCATCTCCTTGGTTTGTCTGTCTACAAAAATTCAAGCTGATCATATGATTACAGGTTCTTGTTGCCCGCACTACAGATAAAAGCTATACTCGATGAACCAATAATTCGGAAGCGTCGTAAAGCACTTCAAAATATACCGAAAGAAGTCTATGATATTTTTGTGATTACTCTCGACAGAATCAAAAATCAGAAGCCGTCCATATCGAGCCAAGCCATGAACGTCCTACAATGGATATTCCTGGCAGCAAGACCATTGGCAATCGAAGAGCTACACCATGCTCTCGCGGTTGAGTCAAATGCTTGGTATAGATGCGTAAGCTAGAGCGATGAGGCTCCACAACTTCGTCCGGAGACCGAGTGACACGCTATGAACAGTGGCAAAAAAACCGTCTTCCGTCACAGAGATAACAACCAACCAATCGAAATAATGCAGCCACCGCAGCAGCAAAAAGAATGCCTGCGGCTGGAGTTGAACCAGCGATCTTCCCAGATCTAAGCCAGGGCCGTTCCTGCCATCAGTCGGCTAGTACTAGGTCTGTTAAGAGTGGAATGTGATACCACTACACCACGCAGGCATTTGTATGTTTTGTAGATATTAAAGCTAATACAAGTACTGTTAAATATTATGTGATATTTTGACAATGTTTACTAAGCTGGTTACTAGCCAACTCCCAGGCTGCAGCCTGCGGGCTAAGCAATGCTCAACCCTTATATCTTCAGTCTTTGCGCGAGCAGAATAATCGTATTTACCACCACAACATCTGAGGAGGAATATATCAAATATGTTCACAACACACAACGCCAAAACCAACACTCACCATTGCCAGCTTTATCCAAACCCAAAAAAAACAATATCCACCCCAACTATATATTAGCCACAATATGCGCGTCGCTCTCCCACAGTCCACTCCACAAATCACCAAGCATACCGGACCTCGACAAGTAACTACTACAATCTAGAGAATCTTCATAATTTCCGCAAATATTGCAACATGACCGCAGTCAGCGTCACACTGTAACTATTCTACCCATCCGCCTATTATCTGCTGTCCGTTTGCTTTTGCTTTCCGAATAAAACTCAAGCCTCATATCAACACCCATACCAGAACGAAAACGCGAAATACCTTATGCTAGTCATCCATGCTCCAAAACCATAACGCCCCCTTTTTAAAGACCTATACTGAACAACTTTTGCCTTAAACTTTACACTAAAGCTACAATCTCGAGCTAGGTCATAATCGACAATCCAGCAAAAGTGAATACAAAATCCATCATCATCCTAAATTAAATCACCGCTGTTCAGCACCACAAACTCGGAACTAAGTAGTAACCGGCTCGCGATTCGGCACCAACTTCAACAGCGTCTACTTATTCTAATTTTCCCCAAGTTAACCCACGTCCGAATTCATTACATTCCATATCAACTAAACGTGCGGAAGTGGCACAAAGTATCACCCCCTACACGTGTCGGAATACTCTGCGAGGCTTGAGAACCCCGTTTTTCACTGATAGCTTACTCGTCCTAAGAATTACCATTGGTTACAATCTATCTCCGTTCGGGATAATATAGACACCGAAGAGATGCTTCGACAACGCTACACTTACCAGCATAGAGCGGATAATTCGTAGGTCATGGAATAACATAACCCTGCCCAGCTCATTTCTCCGCACCACCAGTACCCCACCCTTATCATCCCACTTCCCGCATTAACCACATGCATCACAACCCCACACTTGTTACCCCCCCCACCTGCTACCTGTTTAAATTTCCCATCTCTCTTACTCACCCAAAAAATCTATGGAAACTACCCCGGCAACCGGAGCTTGCGTGGCCAAGTGGTAAGGCGTCCCACTCGTATTCTTGACGTAAATTCGCAATGGGAAGATCAGCGGTTCAATTCCGCTCGTGAGCATTTGTTTTTGTTGTGAGCTTCATCGAGGGTTGTTGAAAGTTGATGTTGAGGGATTGGATGGTCATGTGATATGAGGATGAGGGATGAGGGAGATGGTATTGTGCAAATGCGTAAGTCACGAGATCTGAGAGGGTACTTTCGTCGGGTCTGATGGACGACTACGTAGGATACAAAATTATTTTTTGAGTCTACAAGGAATAAGATCACGGATGATTCATGAAGAAAACGAAGCATGTGTAAGTAAAATGGTATTTTTTATTTTCGACAAGAAAAGTAGAGTAGATATCATTTATAATTTTACAACAAAACACAGTGCTAAAGCCGCCACCACCAATTCCTCTTTTCTAGGGTAATTATCTCTTCTTTTCTCCTCCTCCTCTTCCGCCGCTATGGTATTCCTTTCCACTTAATACTCCTTAGTACACCCTCTTCGCGACCTTCACCAACAACACACCCTTACTATGTCCCCCTTCATTATCAAACAATCTCACCACCCTTAATCCCTCCCTCATTCTATCCAACCTAACACAAGCCCAAGCCGCCAAATCATCCACGCCAAACTCCTCATCATGAACCTTAAACCTAACAAAAGTAATCTTCTCCACAACACCCTGAACTCCTTTAAACTCTAATTTCTCATTCCAAGCACACTCTACGCCCCTCTTCGCCTTCGTTTTTCCCTTCAATTTCTCCTTGCTGTTAGGAATGTCGCCGGGGACGTGAATTTCAACTTTCACATAAGGCTCGAAGGATTTCGCTTTATCATTTTTATCCGGCAAAGGGATATTAGCAGCAGCAATAACCTCGATAGTCAAATCAAGCTGCTTGTATTGCGGCGGTGCATCCCCGGGACGGAATCCATCAGGCTTCAGCACGTAACCCCCCTCCCCGGCGAAGAGACCTTCATTCAGCATCATCCCCTCATCACATTTCTGCCAATTTAGGGCCACGAGCTGAACACCCCTTTTCCAGAACTCCACCGGATCCCCATTCGAAGAGCTAAACCGCAACCCAAAAGGATAAACCCTCATCAAATACCCCTTATTATGGGTAAAAATATCCTCCCTCCATTTCTCATGATGACTCGCAAACACCTTTTCCGAGAAGCTGTAAACATGGTTGGCCAACAAACTAGTTTTATGTTCCACAAACGGACGTCCTGGGTCTCGGCTCGGAAAGTGGTGGCTACTACAATACGCCCCGAGTCGTGACAGGGGTCGGATCATCTTCGCTTTTTTCGGTTTCTGCTTCTTCGCCTGCCTGCTGAGTTCCTCCAGCTCTGAATCGCTGCTGCTATCACTGCTGCTTCTCCTACTCCAGCCACTGCTGCTCCTCTTCGGAGGCTGAGTAATCGCCGCCGTCACCATCCCCGCCGGATCTTGCTCAGGTGGTGTATACTTCGCCTTCACCACAATGCGTTTTCTGAGCTCTTCCGGTGATGGCAGCTCCCCAACTTCCTCAGGCTCCACATCCTTCACCAACATCTCCCCCCAAACCCTCTCCATAATCTCCACCATTTTCCTCTGCTGGTCCTCCTTCGCATGACACTCTAGGGAAATAATCACCGGTCCCTCTCCAGCTCCTTCATACTTCGCCATCTCCTCCTTATCCTCCGAATCATCCCGGGTAAATGCGTATTTCTTAATCGCCTTACAAACATCCTCAAACTTAATTTCCTTCGTCAAAGTATATCCATGAAACACCTCCGGCTCTCCATCACCTCCATCCCAAACGTCAATTTCGATACAGCGACAACCGCGTAAAAGGACATTTTTATAACCGTCGGTAGTGGATTCGCCGTAGAGTTGGTGTCCGGTTAAATAGGTGTTGTGGGAGGAGGAGATAAAGTAGCTTGATAAAGGGTGGGACCAGTCTTTTTGTTCCGGGGTTGGGAGAGCAATTAGGGATTCCGAGGGGGAGGCAAGGAGGACAGCGTCGCCGTTGTGGGAGCGGATGGCGGCTTGGAGAATGGGGGAGGAGAGGTCCGCGCGGGTGCTATGGGCGGAACCGCCGCCGGCGCGGTGGTCTTCATCGTGATGCTTTCCCATCGTTGGAGGGGATTTGATGGTGGGTTTGTGGGGCTGCGGGTGAGCAGTAGTGGAAGGTTCGTAGAAGGAGAGATAAGGAACTTCCTTCGAAGATAGAGATGGAGGAGCGAGTAGAGGAAAGGAGGTGGGTGATATAGAGTTGCCCCTCGATGGACAGCTCCGTTGGTCTCCTGGTATCAGGGCCGTGCGGGGTTTAGTGGGGAGGTGACGTCGCGTGTAGATCCCTGTCCTTGTCATTGGCTAGACCTAGGCCGAATCTACGAGTAGATTGTTGGCGGGGTTACGTGGAGTCCATCCATGGCATCGTCAGACTCTGGAGGAACGCCACGGGGGGCAATTGCGTTCGTGCACGGTTGTATCGTTGTGTCAGTTTAGCTGGGCTTGGTTCTTGTGTGCTTGATGCTGAGTTTAATAATCTGCAGGCTGGTGGAATCGGATCATTCCAGACGACGCCTTTGGAGCTCGCTAACAATGGGCTTGGTCTGATCTCAGATTCCATGACAGCTGGTATGTGCTTCAACGCTTCGCTCGCAAAATCAAATCATAAAATTCCATAAACTCCATTGCTGGTGTCAATCTACACGCGCCATCATCAATAGGTTGCCAGGAATGGAGCTAACAAACCGCGCCGCATATCTAAAATACCATCCCGCATATCATCGATTCATAAATTCAGAATCCACAGTTGCAGTAAAATATCATATATCATACTTTGTATCCTATCCCCCACCCAACGCCTATAGCTCCAGTGATATCCCATACAAAAAAGCAGCAATAAAACTTCATGCAAACCATTAAGCAGAAAAAAAACCGTTGGTATCCATCTCGTCGCTCTAAGTAGCAATCATTACCCTTCCATCATCCCTTTATCACCCCCTCCCACCCTCATCATCACCACCTTTATACCCCATATCCCCCAACCCCTCTATTCTGCGTTTCTGACATTTCATTTCCTACTCCGCTAAAACCTCCCTCAGAGCCCCAAGGAAATCCGGTCCCAATTTTGCAATCTCAACAATAACAGGCTTAACCGGTTCACCGGCCTTCGCCTTAAGATGCTCAGAATACTTCTGTCTACGTTTCCGTTCCGTCTCTATTGGGTCTCCTGTGTTATCGTCTTCTTCTATGCCTTCGTCGTCGGATTCATCTGCGGCTGCTAGGGAGGCCATATCGGTCTGTTTAAGTGTTAGCATCAGGTAATCTTCAAAACCCCCGGCATCTCGCCTAGTGCGGGGAAGCTCGCAACGCACGCTTTTGGAACTAACCTCATCCACGCCAAAATCCGCCGCCGAAAAGCTCCCCCAACTTCCCCTGTCCTTCCCATCACCTGCCATTTTCTGTCTCGTCTTATCCTGATGCCACTTCCTTCTTCTAGTCTGCCAATCAATAAGTTGATCAATCTCCCCCTTTGCCTTCTTCTCATCAATAATCCCCTTCTCCACCGCATCTGTGAACAGCGCACACATATCCAACTTCTTCTTACTCGCCGGCCCTTTTCTAAGAAACTCCAAGATGCCCTCTAACCATCCCATTAATTTATCAAACAGTCCATCGTCGTTGATATGAACTTCATGGACGAAGGAATAAAAGTTGTTTTCATGTCTAGCGCAAAGATCGATAAAAGATTGGACCGTCATATTTGGATCCGTAGACATGTCCTGACTCTGAGCTTTTTCAATAACGCCAATCATATCATCAATGAAAACCGCGAAATCTGTCACGCTGTTGTAAACATTGGCGGATTTGTAAACCCTGACAAGAGGTTCATAGAAAATTCGGAATAAGTCGCAGAATAACATAATGGTAACGGGTTGATCTATAAGTTCCTTCATCATTTGTTTGTCCCGGATACGGGTGTACAGTTTTAGGAGTTGTTGGAGATAGGCGAAGAGTTGAGCGGATTTTTTGACTTCGTCGTGAATCTGCAGGAGTCATGTTAGCTGTGTCTAAATTAAAATCATTCTTCAAACTTACGTTATTCAGTGCACTCTTGTAGTCGAGGTAGTTATCCTCAGTCTTGTTGATAGTTTCCTGTAGGATCTTTTCACCAAGTTGGGGGTTGTTGCTCCTCAAGATTACCAGTACCAAATCCTGTCCAGTTTCGGTGGCGTCTTTGCGGAGCTCATTCTTGACGTCCTCAGAGGCAGAGGTAAAGAGCTTCAGTCTCTCACATATAGCCTTGTCGCCAATTCTGGTAATCAAAACATCCACACTCTTCTGTATATGCCTGATACCATCGTTGATAGCCACCGTAAACACCCTCTGCATCAGCGACTTTGTTCCCATCGGCGCCGCTGTGAAGAGGTTCAACACAGTCGACATAACCGCAGCCGGGTTGGTGAAGCGGATAACATTCTTGATAACACCATACGGCATTAACGAATGGATCCTCTTTCCCTGAGCAAAAAGCTCCGCCGCATTATCCTCCGCAAGAAAGATGTGATAAATCGCTGCCGCAACCTCAATCCTCAACCACTCTGCAAATTTCCGGTACTGAATATCGAGATCTGCCAACTTATTCTTCTGTCTGATTTCAGAGAAAAGTTTCGTAAGACCATTCGCCTCAACAATATCCTTCCTAAAGCCTTCCATATAAACATCCAATTCCCTTGCTCTCTCGCGCGCAAGTTCATAGAATTTCTTCTGTTCCTCTAGCCGGACCTCGTCCATAGCGCGTCGTCTGGCTTCATCTTCAAGCTCCTCTTCGTTGAGCTTTACAGGCTCGCTGAGGAGGAACATGCTCATTGCTTCGCTGTTTGCAACTTGGTTATCCTCCAACAATGACCTCATGAAAGCTCTGAGACTAACGCGTTGGTTTTCTCGCCAAAGCTTAATGGGCTGAGGATCGCGTTGGCGGTCTGAGCTGAATGATAATCCGGAAGCATTTCTAGAAGAACCAAACCCGAACGCAGAGCCCAAACTGCTGCCTAGCGACAGAGTCTTCTTGTGAGA